CTGCAACCTCTTGCAGCTCCATAATTGCCATGGCAACGCCAACTTCTGCCATTCTTGGGCTTGGAGAGTGGGGAGACGGAATCGGGGAACTGGGAGCGTTTTCACTCTGTTGTTCTCAAATTGCTTTTAGCAATCCCTCATACTTTTGTGTTACACTTCAATGGGCGAACGCCAAGGCCCACGCCTCCCGCGTTTTCCATTCGCCAGGCCATAATTACAGGTGCAGGACGAGATTGCTCGCAATTGCATTCCGTTCTTCAGCGTTCGTAATCAGACAATTTCGTAGTGTTTTGCATTTAAGTTTCGCTTTAATCAGCCCGCTGGCAGGCGCAGGACAAACTTTTCGGTCAAGAGACAAAAGGCGTAGATAACAGCCATGGAAACAGGAAGTTGCCCCAAGCCACAGGCCAGTGTTGCACACTTTTTAAAAGGTTGGCGACTCGGACCGGAATCAGCAGAATAAAATTTAAGAAGAGTTTCTCTGAAAACATTCTACGTTCTTACCTTCTAATCAGGACAACTTCATTACATTTTTCAAAAAGCAACTTTGAAATATTATATGTATGCAACAATTAAAGTAAACATTATTATTTAAAATTTTAATATAATAATATAGTATTAATTTTATAGTAAGCAAAGGACAAATTTTCGAAGCTGAAGACTGTGCAATTACCACTATTAAAAATGTCAATAGGAAGCTGGGAAAGATTTTCAAAAAAGGATGTTTATTAAAACTGAAAAATTCGCTATTTGTGAGCTTTAGAAATGAACATTTAAGAAAGCTACTTTTGTTTAGGAAAAAGACATTTTGGCAGCTCTGTCGCAGCCCAAAAACAAGAACCCAGCCGCCGGAGTCTAAAAATTTTGTTGTGAAAAAGTCAAAGTTTCTGAAGACTCGAGTTCATTCCATTGCGTTATTTTTTGTGTTAACTGATTTCCATATTGTTGTTAGTTTCGCGAACTATGTACCTACATATAATATATATACACACTTGGCGTGTGGGCTCCCTACTCCCACTTCTGTTGGTACACCGAAAAACTTTTTAAACATTTTTAACACCCAATTTTAAAGCTTTTATCGTGCTCAGTTCCCGCCGACAGTTTTGCGCTTTAAAAGAATTTAATTCCGAAATGTCGATTCGCCTTCAAGCAATTTCATTTAAAATGCATGAAAAATATGCATGAAGCTCGTTTCGATTGCAGTATCAATTAAATTTAATGGTCGTCAGAATCCGTCTGCAGTTGATCCACATGTGGTCAACCACATTTGTACAGGTAAATCTGTCACTTGCACGGAATAAAACGTGTTTCCCTCGAAAAACACGGATCGAATAGTTAGCTTGGGTTATCCTAATGCAATTGATATGTAATTAAATTCGCTTTTCGATGACAGAGTATTAACATACTTTCAGAGTTTACCAACATCAACATCAAAGCCCGCAATTCAAAGGGTGTTGGCCGGGCGAGGAATGGATTGGCAGATGCCTTCGCTATGAATACAAGCCACAAGAGCTTTTAGCCTTCGTTTTGAGTGAATCTGCAACGAAAACATTCGGATGATGCGGCACATAAGGCAGATTACTCAACAATGCCACCGAGGAGCGTCTGTCAAAGAGCTGCAGACTCGAGTGTCAAATGTATTTTAGCATTTTAAATGTTTACATTTGGCATATGACATTTGCAAGTGTAATGCCAGCCCGAGGCTGTCCCGAGATTAGGCCAAGATGATGGTGCTGGCGAGATAGCCACTTGTTCAGGGCCAACTCAGACGGCAGGGTTCGCTGGCCCTCAGAATTTATAATTGCAATTTAATTTGCATAAACTTAAGTAATCTCCGCCTGGGGTCGCACCTAGCGGCCACATGTCAAATTAAATGAACCATTTTTCTGGTTCAGTCAAGGTTGGCCCAGCTGAAATTTTAAAACAATATGTTTTAATATTTATGGCGTAAGTTTCGTAATATGCTTTGCTTGGGCTCAAGAAAGGATTGTGCTCAATGGCTGCCCAAAAAGCAGGAATACTCATAACAAAGAAACTTGAGGATGAGCAGTTGACAATTTTATTAAACTTTTGCAAATTTCCTAAGATTTATTTCGGTATAACAAGCCAAAAGAATGCTAGAGTAAAAACATTTTAATTTTGTAAAAGTTCTTATTCAGCCAACAAAGGGTTTTATTCAGCTATTAAACCAGAAGGCCATTAAACTTTAGGCTTTCAATTTACTTTGGATTAAAACAGACGCCGCAATATTCATATTTACCTCCTGTTGTGGGTCATAATTTTTAATTAAATGTTCAAACACAATTTAAATAGTTAGAGGTATTTAAATAAATATGTTCGCACTCGCTTATGATTGTGTTTAATTTGCACATTTGCCGAGGAACAAAATAATTGCTTTGGCAAACATTATATCCGTATAGGATCGGCATCATCTGTCAACTGGGCTTATTGTTTGGCCATAACGATAAATATATTTTCCGCTCAAATTGTGCACATGAGGGGAACCAATTTGCATGCGCATAAATATTAGGCTTTCAGTGGGTCAATGGCATTTTTCATGTGGTCGGAAACGAATTGATTGCATTCGGTGTGGGTTACGTTTGGAATAGCTTCTGGCCCATGATTTATCTGCACTCAACCGCCAACTGTTGCACGTGATCCAAGGACATGAAAGGACGGCGGGATGGCCCCCCAGTCAGTTGGAGGTATTGTTATTTTATGTTAATGCATGACGTTGTGAGGCATTTGGAAAATGTACAAAAGAAATTAGCAAACTTTGAAAAATACGAACGGAGAAACGGGAAGGCGGCTCGGAAAAGCAACGAATTCAACGGCAACTGTTGACAGTTATCCTGGCACAAACACGCATTGTAATGTCTAACAAGCTACACAGTACAGCTATAGCAGCACAAACATCGCATGTCACTCAACGGCCTCACAGTCCTGAGTCCTGACAGGTCCTGCGTCCTGCGTCCTTGGGTGTGTGCGCGTCTGTGCGCCGGGCTTTTGTCATTTACATATTTACACTTTATTCCCGGTGCTTAAGACTGAACTTTAACATGTGCAGCTTTGCCAGGCCACCACACATCCTGCCGCGAGGATTCCCCGCTCGCAAAAAATATCTCAGAACCGTATTATGGCCAGGTCTGTGTTTTTGTGCGGGCTCTTCAGCACAAACTTTTTATAGCATACTTTTGTAATTCAGCAATTTCTATCATTTTCCACCCGAGCGCGGGGCTTAAAACTGTCATAAGGGAAACATCAGCTCAAAATGTAAATCGGATGATTTACTTTTAAAGGTTTTTTTAAATAGTATTTATCGCAAAGGAAAATGAATGGAAATTGCATACTTTAAATGGGTGATTGTTTTACTTGTTTTCTAGTGCTGTTTTGGCAACCGTTTCGTAGAATATCGGTTATGGCGTAGGATATCGGTAATCCTTCAGTTTAGCCGGGAATTTCCCCACCCTCAAATACTCCTCAAAAGCATTTTCCGCAAGCAGATAAGTGAAATCCAAAGAGTAAAAAAGAATTGGATGCGGCAAGTGCCAAAACGCAAATACCTACATATGTGGGCAATTTGCTTAAGGGCGAGATCGAGCAAAAGACGACGTGTACGACGAGAAGCAAGTTGCCAATTCATTCCCAATCCAAGTAGTTGGGCGCAAGGATTACCGGTACTATCAATGGGTGCTTGAATCCAAAAGACCATGCCTTTATTCCCATGTTCACCATATGCTGCGCTCCATCTACCTTCCTCACCAGTTTTGAATTTAGTAAAGGCCTGACATCATTGACCCTTCACCTGACCAAGCGCATTTGAAGGCCGTATTCCGAACATTCCTAACAGGGGTTTAGCCTTTTCGTAAACAGTGCGCCCATTGACTTTGATTTTCCAAAAGTGCAATCGACACTATATCCCGATCCCTAGCAACGACTTCGTTTTCTGGGTGCTGACAACGGACAGCTTAAAACTCGAGTATTTGGGACAGTGAAGCTTCAATAACGTAGCTATCAGATACCCACAGATATATAGGGGATGATTTTTACCTTTGACCGCAACTATGGCGTAAATTCCATTTTCGTTAGCAGTCATTAATTCCCTCTGTAAAAAGTAATGTTTTAAAGCTGACTATTTCACTCTGCTGAATTGTTCACTTTATAAAGTGAATAAAAGTACCTATAATTATTTATTAACAGTGCTGCTCATGACCCACATTTTTTAAAAAGGTTAAAAAGTCAACAGTTAAAGGGTCGCTCTCCACACAAAATTAATTTCAATTTTTTCTTAACTCATCTCTGCCAATGCATACAAAAATATTACTGATTTAAAAGTAAGCTCAAATTGTAATGTTGAGTTTTTTAAGTAATTTCAACGCCAATAATAAATACAATTTCATAAAATCAGTTCAGGTGTCGGGGTAATTTTATTAGACACAAAGACTTTAGCCAGAATTGTATGACTGATTAAATACCCATTTTGTATAAATTCATTTCATTTGCCAGTCCTTCGCTACTAGGGAAATGGGAAATCACCTCGTTCTTCGAAGAGGTGCACATCCCCCCGCGCAATTCAATAAGGTAAGCCGAAAACGCAGGTGAGAATCTCTGCGCTGGCACCTGATATTGTTTTGCATTTTCCCGGGGGCAGAGGGCAATGCAATTTCAGGTGGTAAATGCAGGCCAACAAGGCCTAACGGCGCTGCCGCTAAAGTGGCGGCTGGCAAATGCAATTTCCAGCAAAAAGGCCGGGATAACGGCACATAACTGATTCACTTTAATGCAATTTGCATGAATCCAGTGGCTAACAGTCTGTTAACAGAACCGTTATTCGCTCTCTGCTGCTCGAGCTGTGTTTATTGCGCACAACTCATTCATAAAAGCGGGGAGAGAGAAGAGAGCACTCTCTCGCGAGAGAGAGCGAGATTGAGTTGTTGGCGGCTGCTGTGTGCAATAAATACAAAGGACTCAGCATCCGCAGCAACAGTGGCGTCGCAGGATTCAGTTATCGCGTAGCCGCCGTGTGTGTCGCAGGACTCGGATTCAGTTATCGAGTAGCCGCCGTGTGTGACGGACAGCCGCCGACGCCTCAGGTTCGCGATTGGATTTAAAGTGCATTCAATTAACATAAAGTGTAATTAAAGCCCTCAATCGCTCTCCGCTGATGCTCATTAAAGGGAAGCGAACGAAAAGTGAGCAGCGGCTGCGAAACTAAGGCCATTAAAGCGCCTTCGGAGCTCTCCGTGTTGAACGGGCAGCAGTGCAATTGGAATTCAATCAAGTTGAACGGAAATTGTCTCAAATTAAAAGTAAATTAAATACCTCTCCGGCCACGCGGTCAGGCTTTATTAGAAGTTATGGCTGCCAGCCCGCTTTGTTTCATCCATCAAAGTGTGTGACAGTCACGTGTGTGCGGCTGTGAGCTCGCAACTGCCGCTGGCACGGCGCTAATTTCTCACACTTCAAACGTGGCCGGGACGGGCAATGAATTTCCGCCCCGACCTCCCGCTGCGGATGCTTCGCTCTGCCTTTCTTTGTTTTCCCACCGACTGTTTTCCCAACTCCCACTCCGCTTTTCCGATTTCCGGGTGCTCTCCCCTCCTCACCTGCTCGAATGTTGTTATTTGGCTAGCCAAGCATGGCTCTGCCCACTCCTGGGCCATAAATTAAACGGATTGACGCTGCATTGCGTAAACAGATTCGACCAGGGAGTGGGCAGCGGCAGCTTATCGGAGCTCCGTCCCTTGGCGGGCAGCTTCTCGTCTTTATGATTAGTTAATGGGATTCAATTTCATTTGAAGTCGCCCACCGCAGAGCGTAGCAATCGCAGCTGCCGCAGCTTCCGCCCGCTGATTACATAAGGCACGTTCTCGGGGAAACACTTGTTGGGTTTTCCAACCAGACACGTAGTCGCGCCGAAAGGAGTTGCCAAAGGGGAGGTGGGGCGGAAGGCGAAGGCGGAGGCTGTGGCTGAGGCTGAGGCTGAGGCAGAGGAAAGTGAATCACAGTTGTGCCATTAGGGACTCGGCGAAATAAATTCAATATAAGCGAGGCCTAATGGCAGTAGTTGAGTTCCCATTTACATTCAGCCTCCATAAATTGGCATGGCTGCGAAAATCGCTGCCCACTTAAGAGGGCCCACATTTAGCAGGCGCAGCATCAGCATTTTAAATGCAGCATTTCACCCTCGAGTGAGTGGCAAGATGAAAAAGTACAGGTGTGCATTCTAAAAATAACAAACAACTCGAGTGAGATAAAAACAGCAACTGCGACCGAGGTGTAAAGTGCTAACGCAAACACAAAACTGGCGAAGGAGCGTAAACAAACATCGCAACATAGCAACCTAAAACGGCGAACAAACAGCGCTGAAGGTTGTCCTGCCGGATCCCTGCGATTCTGCGGGCTTGTGAGTGTGTGAGTGGGCCAACGGAAGGAGCCAAAGTAAGCGCAAAAAATGTGCAAGTAATGTGCAGCCAGTAGAGTGCAATGCCATCCGTGAAATCCGCCGAAAGTGAGATTCTTCTTGGGATTATTAGGAGCGACAGCATGACGAACGGCCATTCCTTGAGGTCCTGCCTTCTGCTGGCCACCGTCCTGGGATTACTCTGCCGCACCAAGGGTGAGTTCATGAGTCCTCGGCAGTCCTTCCATCTTCGTTTTCGTCTTCGTCTTCGGCTTAAGCAACTCTCCGCGCTGATTGCTTGGCAGGAATAAAAAACGGAGAATTCATTTTACAGCCTTATTAAATCTGTATTACATAAATTACGGCAAGCGTTTCACTCTGCATTTTTATGAGCGCTTTACGCTTTCGCATTTCACATTTCACATTTCCCATTTTCCATTTGCCTGCCGCCCTTCGCCGCTCGCCGCTTTTATGTCATAATGAGTGCAGCCTTTTGATTTAATGACAACTGTTTGCCATAAAACAACATCCATATGCACACACAATGCGAGGGTGCTCGCCTTTATGTGGCCTGTGATTTATTTCACTTCTTATTTTTATGATAATTTATCAAATATGCATAATAAAATGCCAGCAACGCGACCGTTTATGGCCCCTGGAAATTTCGCCAAATTTCATATGTGAGGTGGCAACAGCTTGCAGATTGGATACTCCATGCTGTGGGGTGGACCTTGGTGCGATAAAAGTTAAATTCAAGTGTTTTAGCACATTTAAACATATTTTAAATAAGAACTTGGTTACAGACGGAACAAATTATGATAGGTCAGATAAGTCTTTGAGTGTACTTTCCGGGAAGTACACATAAGTCGAAAGAGATTCATGAAACATTTCGGGGTCAGAGATGAGCTTGAAGAGCCGAAAATGTTCCAACACTTCGGTCTTTTTAAAGTTTTTGTTCTTTTTTTAACAAAAATGTTGTGAATAATTCTAAAAAGTCTTGTATTTCCAAATATTTTAATTTTTGGTTCTTAAACGTTTGCTGCTGTTGAAGTAATGGACTCTACAATTATTTTTTCATTGATGTATATATCAAATAAAATAAAGAGTTAACATTTTTCTTTTAAAAAACAATGTTATTTGGTCAACATTTTAGTGCGTTGCTTGAGTTTTAAAATTACTCTTTCTAAAATTTATAAGCAATGATTAAACATTTTTGAGCTTTATTTAATTAATCGAACTTTAAAAACTTTTTTGTATTTATGGATTTAAAAAAATGTGTGTGTTAATATTTAAGCGTACATAATTTGTGTACCAAAGATATATTATGTTCTCATTTACTTTCTTATATTATATTAAATTCGTAACTGTTGCAGTAAAAGCGTATATTATATTCGTTCGCTAGTAGCCTTTGAAATAATATAAAATTATATTTCACCAGAATAATCAGACGAATCGATCCGACCATGTCCGCATATCAGTCCGTCGTTTGAACGTGGTGATATTTAAAACTTAAAGAATTAGATTATTTGTGATGCCTATACAGCACAAGTGCTTGCCAAAATGATCGCACACCCATGCCCCTACAGTATAAATGCATGTATTAGGGTTAAGGATGCAAATTCTAGTTATTTATATGGTATTTTCCAAAATTTGCATAAACAGTTGTCAGATGTTTGGCTTTTTGGCTTTTGATAAAGTTTTAGCGAATTAGCCTTACACCTGCAAAAGAAGAACAGTCTATGTCTAAATCGACTCACATGATGATGCTTATAAATATATGTATATATACTTTAGTTGCAGGATAGTAAAGGTGGAAAAGCCAAAGGAAAATGTTGATCCACAGAAAAAAAAAAATGCGGAATGAAATACATTTAAACTTAAACTTTTTTGAATTATCTACAACTGATTAAATTTATACATTACCGTTTTTGTTTAAGTACATTCAAATTATTTACGTTATATACGTTGATATAATTGTTTAATATGAATATCTAAAATGTAATTTTTCTTTAATATTTTGGTTTTGAGAACTATAAATAGTTTTGAAAAATCCTTTCCTTTTTTCGCTTTAATCTTGGAAACTAAACTAAGAAAGAAACTCACAAGAAACCAAGATAAAACAGTAAATTAAACACGCAGGCTTAACTTAGCGCATTATTTGACACAGCTATAATATAATATTAAATAGTTGACATTCCTGCGATAAGCTATTTACAATGTTTTGTTTACAATACCTGTTATTCTTTAAATAATAAAAAGTAACCTTATCTTTAAAGTAGACAAAAAAATTACCTAAAAACATTACTCTTTTCCGTGGGGCGCCATTATTATAGTGATTTCCATGTCACCGATCTAAAAGTTCATTATAGTTCATTTGTTTCTAAAAAGAAGAACGGATTTTGGTTTCCTTGACATAATTATATATTTTTGTGGGAGCTTTACTTTGATGTTAAAAAAATTAAAAAAAAAAGTAATGTTCAGGTTTAGTGCGAATTTTAAAATTGGGGATTTTTTTCGATAAAAACAAAAGCTGTTTTTTTTATAAAATGTACGGGGTTTTTACAAGCTTTTAAAATCCAAACAATATAAGTTGTAACAATGATTATCATTTATAAAATTAAAAAAACAACAAACCTTTTATGAATATGAGACGTACCATTAATTTGTTTTTTATTTCAGCTGAGTATTGCATTACATATAATCATGAATTTAAAAGAAAGTACTTTTCGAAGTCTTTTTGGCAAATATCATATATTACCATATTACCATATTATTACCATATTAGCATGTATTACCTGACATTCACCTAAACCAGAGAACTAGGTCCACCTCAGGCTTTTAGTTTTTCCGGTTAAACTCCCATGTGAAAAGTCAACTCAGCACGGGATTATTTTGCGTTTGTTTTTGCCTCCTCGCAGCGCTGCCCTTTGAGTATGTGGACGAGCACGAGGACTTCAACTACGACCTGGACACGGCCCAATCGCAGGCGAAGTACGACGCTCGCCTGCTCTCGCAACAGATGCTCAGCGAGGCGGAGTTGCAGCTCCAGCGGATGAGCGGGGGGGCGCAGGAGAACGGCTTGGACGGCGACTCGCCTGGAGCTCAGGGGAGCGCAGTGGGATCCGAGCTGGAAGCTGCCTCCTCGGCGCAGGAGGACCTCGAACCGCACAGCAGAGCAGCAGCCTGCTTCACCAACGGACACAAGTACACACACGGACAGAAGGTAGGAAGTCGAAGGACGACGATATTAAAAAGCGGTTTTCCATTTACTCAAGCGCACGGGGACACACTTCCATTTCTTTGGCAATCAATCAGTTTTCCTCTAAAACTTTGTTTTAAATGTAAGATAGTGGAGAATACGAAAAAGCTTGCTTAAAGTCTTGGGGAATCAGTTGCTTCCATTACCATTGCACAAGCTGAAATGCTATTCTCAAACTTACAACTCCTCATAACTAGATTAGTTTGTGTAGAAAGACTTAACAACAGTTTTCGAAAAAGAAATTCAGATGCCACTAGATATTCCTTTCTGTAGGAAAAGTAAGCAACGAGATATAAGATCTAGTTGTTTTGCGTAGCCATTTCCCAACCATCATCCGATGAGCATTCGCAGTAGTTGAACAAAGGGATTGCATAATTTGAGTTTGTGGCTCCTTGCGGCAAATGTTATGACATGAGTCCTGCCAACCGAGGAACCTGCCATTCCGGAACAGACCTCCGGTTCCTTGAGCCAACGTGTGGCTTTCGGCCACCCTTCCGCCGTATCACAAAGCCATGAAATCTGCCGGCACTGTGATTGATTATCGGGTTGTGGCCACACACCGCACATGAACAGAGCAGAGCACCTGCTAACCGCCTTGTGAACTGGGATTCGGAGGAGAGTGTTTGAGTTATGAGTGTGTCCTTTTCAGGTGCCCCGCCAGGATGCCTGCGAGGTGTGTCTCTGCATGGACGGCGAGATCTTCTGCTGGTGGGAGAAGTGCGGTTAGTCATCCGTCGGCCTTTTCCGGCTTGCATAATATAACGAGAAACTTTTGCCTTTTTCCCGCAGATAAGGCCAATGCAAACAAGGCGGCAGCGGCAGCGGCGGAGGCGACGGAGGGAAGCAGCCATAAAGTTAACGCCGGACTTGGACTGGCTGCTGGTGGTGGTGCTCGTCTTAGTGTTGGCCAAGGCGGTGGCAATGGAATCAGCAACAGCAACAGCAACAGCAATGGCAACAGCAATGGCGACGGCGATGGTGACTACTCGGATCCGTATCGCCACGAGAGCACAACGGGAAAGTCAACAAAAGCGCATAAAGCTGCTAGGAAAGTTGGCAAGCGGCGCAAGCATCACAAGAATCAAAAGAATTTTAATGACTACGAAGTTTACCACAGCCAGCGGCAGAAGCAGCCGGATTATAAAAAGTCCACCATTAAGCAGCAGCAGCAGCAACAGCTACAGAAGAAGCTCAAAAGTGACGGCGGTGGCAACTACAATATAATCAAGCAACACAAACACGAGCAGCAGCAGCAGGAACAGCAACAACAACAGCAACTGTAGCAGCAGCAGCAGCAGCAGCAACAGCAACAGAGTGTGGCAGCTTTGGCTGTTAATCAGACGGCGAAGGCGACGCATTATCAGCAGGCAGCTGCCTCGCCGCCCCCGCAGCACAACTACCATCCGCACCAGCAGCCGCACTCGGCCAGCAAAATCCTGAACTTCCCCGAGAACCTGCCGGCCTTGCTGTACTACGACTACAAGACCGAGGAGCACGAGCACCACCAGCACCAGCACCACCAGCAGCACTTGCTCCACGAGAAGCAGCGCCTGCTGCAGCAGCAACAGGAGGCGTTGGCGCGACAAAAGGCGGCTGCCTCGGCAGCGGGATCGGAGGCGGAGTTGGGGGCGCCAGATGCTGCCGTTGAACTCGGCGGCGACAAAAACTCTGATGAGGCGGAAACCGACAGCGATATTCTGCCGGAGCCGCCAACAAAGCAGCCCAAGGCAGCCGCCGCACAATGGCCAACTAGCAGTACGGCCAGGGCGCTGATGACAACCCGGCCAGTTGCCACTGTGGCAGCCACGTCTGCCTCAACGACAGCGTTGACAGGAACAAATGAAATGGTGACAAGCACGCTGTCTGGCTTGGAGAAGTCCGGAGCCACGGTTGCAGCCACAAACGTGAGTTGGAAGGGGTCCAAAGAGGGGTCCTTGCCTCCGGGCTTTGTCCCATGCAACGTATCTGAGATAAGTTTGCAAAGCTCTGAACAAAACATATCCATCAAATGTAAACACCAGGAGAACTAGCTCCCACTAGATATGGAGGCTAAATTTAAGCCAAATATTTCTTTGCTTCTTCAGAAAAAAAAAATTGTTTGTGGGTGCATACTTAAAGTTTTATATACACTTTGCCCTTTGAAAGTGGCTTCTTATTGCTAAGACAATTTTTGCACTTTTCTTTTTATAAAACAAGAGCTTCACACTGCACTTAAGGCGAAAGCGGTCAATGCATTGCAAACCTTTTTGTCTGAGTATTTGGAGATCTGTAGGATAGCCTCCTTGATCCCTAAGTATTTGATAAATTTGTGTAAATATATATATTAGATCCCAGAAATAATATCCAGTGTTTGATATCTTATATCCTAATGTTTAATCGAGCTCTCAATGAAAAACTTTTATAAGCTTAAAAATTGCTTTTCATCCTGCTAGCTGTGCGCAACCTAGCATTGTTTCCTTAAGGATTGGTTTATTATCGTGCCGCTCCATTCGTCTGGGTATTTTCATACGTGCTCCCCGAAACTGACCTGCCTTGCCCCTCATTTTTCGTGCTTTTCGTGCGCTGCTTAAAAGCGTGGGCGAAGCTCACCCAATTAGGCTTTGGGCCACTTCGTTGGCCGCCCCGGAGTAGTTTGAACTTTACGCTTTCGGCGTGTCCAGTGAGCCCGAAATGCTTCTCGTAATGGGGTTTTTCATGCCCGAGCTGGTTTATTATTTACTACGCAGTCAAGTCGTGTTAACAGTCTGTGTTTTATTCCCGCTCCTCCATCCTCCCTCCAGGACGGACAGCTGCAACATGACGCCGCAGGACATGACGCGGAGCCCGATGACGCCTTCCACCGATGGCTGACATCCACCGAGCTGAATGCTGACAACACAAACTCGCTGGACGACAACTCGGAGCAGGAAACGCCGCCATCGACAATAATCGATGATGTTGGCCTGGCCAACAAGAGTGACAGGAGCAGCGGCAAAGACAATGGCAGCGATGCCGTCTTCTTTCGCAGCTCGTACAACGATTACAGCAGCGAATTCAATGGGAGCGTTGTCAATATTGACATTACACTAACTGCAGTTGATGTGCATCCTCGTCGCCAAACGGATTTAATTGCAAATGGCAACAGAACGTCAGGCGTTAACGACAATGGCAACAGCAACAGCAACAGCAACACCAATAGCAATAGCAATGGTGGTGCAGCAGGGACAACAATGGACCCACAGGCAGCCAGCAGCGGCATCAGCAGCAATAACAGCAATAGCAGCATCAAAAGCAACAACAACAGCAGCAGGAGCAATCAGGATCAGCCTCAGCAGAGTCCTCGTGTTCCGCCGTACACCCTGACAACGATTATAACAACGACGCCGATGGCACCAGGGCGTATGTGCAATGTTTTGGGTAAGCAAGCAAGTCAGCGAACCTCCGAAGGGGTTGTTCCTACACAGAGAAATAAATATCCCCAGGTCTCGTGCTAAGCCGCTGTTTGTCAAAGGTTACCGTGTGTTATACGTTAAAATATTTACACTTGCAATAGAATTTACAATTTACGGTAGTATACCATCATTAACAGGGCTTTAAATGCTTTTAACAAACTCTAATAACATGATTTAAACAATTTGAACCAAATCACTTATCTCTAAAGATGATTAGACGGCTTGTTTTTAACCGAAGCCAGCAATCTGAAGACATTCAACTGTCTTTACTTTGTTTAATGTATATCAAAGTGAACTTAAATCGGTTTTATAATGTTGCAAAGCCCACTGTTTTTGTAAAATGATACTGATTTTCAGGGCAAATTCAAATGTTGTGCTAATCCTGAATAACAAAAGAGTTATTAAAAAAATGACAGATTGTGCAAGATAGAATAGAACAAATGTGATCTTAAAGTGAGCTATAAATCAACTTTCGCACCCTTAACCACCTAAAAGCGAGGACTTATCACTCCATAAATCAAAACAGCAGCCAGACATTTATTTCTCTGTGTAACAAAAACAAGGGACCCATCTGGGTGCCCCTGCATTTTATTACTGCCCGTCACAATTGCTCACTTCCTAATCCCATTTAAACTGCAAATCGAACTCGCTTCCGTCGCTCTGGCTCTTGTTGCAGGCAAACTGTATAAAATTGGCGACATTCTGCCACAGGATACGGGCAACTGTCTGCAGTGCATTTGCACGGACGCCGTGACACCCGACGAGATGCCGAGCGTCACCTGCAGTCCGCACAATTGCCCGCCGCTGGTTCTGCCGGATCTATTCGATGCGACTGGTTACTGAGGTTACGGGTTTGTGCTGTAAGTTGGCGGGGGACGGAGAACGGAGGATGGAGTTCGCTGGAGGATGTGGCAGACGCGGAGTGCGGTGGAGGATGTGGTGCCCGGTGGCAGGTGACACGCCAAGGGGCGTGGGTTTGTATAGTTTTCGGATAGATCGGAGCGTGATTTAAATTTTGAAACCGAAGCCACAACTGCAGCAAGCCATAGGAATCGAATCGAATCGAATCGAGTTGAATAGCATCGAATTGGATTGAATCACAACAGAACACTCACAAGTCTCACATGCAAGGTCTCAACTAACTCAACATAAATTGAATGGATTTCAGTGTAAAGCCCTCCCTATCACGAGTGCCACGAGCACTCTCTAAATCGAAACCTATCAGTGAACACATATTATATTCGTACTACTATATATACCGATCTGACCAGAGAAGGAACGGCGGGGGTAATGAAGTCGAGGCACAGTCTAGATTTTAAGCTGAATGTTTATGCATTTTATAAGGACCCGATGTCATCTTTCTCCTCGTGTAGTTGATTGAGCCCAACAAGAAACCATTAAATGTATACAGCAATAGAAATCGTAATGAATTTATAGATGTACCACAACAGAAGTATATATATACTATATATCAGCATATACATTTACCAATATATATACCTATATCTCTATACCTATGTGTGTGTTGAGTTCAGTAGAGTCAGTTTAAAGATTATTTCCCGACTGAGACAAAGCGCGCAGAGTTTTCAATACATTTAAACAGAGGAGAAACAAAACAAAAAACCAAGGAAAAACTTATACAAATATAGGCAACTAAATCTATAACGAAAAAAACTGAACAATGACAAATAATGAACATACGTGTGTAATATTTTAATTTTGATATTAAAAGCAAACAAAGTATTTATCATTTGCATGCATGAACTGTTATTGTTTCGCGCTTCTTTAGAAATTTATCTATACGTAATCTACGAATCGAAAATAATGTAGTGAGTATGGAAGTTGTTTTAACAAAGCTGAACTTGGCAAAGAAAGACACCATATCGAGTAGTTATAACAATTTTAAGACATAACCCCTAAATGTATTTAAACATATGTACACCTAGAAACTTTCCAATAGATTCAGTGAATTCAAAATTTACAGCGACTTCCGAAAACGATTTTTTTTAGTTTTGTTTCTGGTGGCAAAGACAGCATTTATTTCAAAGCAAGTTTAGGCGTGATAAACATTGATTTATTCGGAAGGGGTTAAATTAAGAGAAACATACTTGAAAAGTAGAAAACAATTTCGATTATAAGGGAATCAAATAAATTCGGGCAAGCTTTTTATGAGCGAGGCCGAACAGAACTATATAGACACACGAAACTGAGAAATCAAAATGCAAAATATACGTACACACATATATACCGAGCGTACACACATAAACAAACATAAATATTTAATATCGACGTACCGCAAGGGAAGCACAAACAGAAGAGCATATGATAAATTCAAAGAAAAAATAAAACAAATTCATCTTGGACGAGCGTATTAAAAATGTATACAAATATGCGTATTTATGTATGTGTAAAATAAATGTAACTACAACTCTCAACTAATCTGCAAACTCACATTCAGATGCACGAGCATCCTGTGTTTAAATGGTATTTGTGTTTGAAATCAAATTGAAATCGAATCGACATAAATAAACCGAAACCAACTAAGGCATTTCAAAACATGCCATCCGAGTCGACTTTATTTCAGTGGAAGATCGGGCCAATTGAAAAAGGTAAGTTCACGGATGATTTAACATTTTAAGTTCACAGCTCTTCAGTGGGGCTTTTAAGTAAAACTGCAAAATGGGTGTGCATTTGTCTATGCTAAATGTTTTTAAATATTTAAAGGTGTATGTTTTATTCAGATATGTCAGTTGTATATACTGCGTTTATGCTGTGAATTTCAAGAGTTCTTGAATATGTGTAACCAAAATAGCCCATCTGTATACGATGCTATTGTAATTTTTTCCCATTTCATGTGATTGCATTCAAAGGTCATCCCATATACTCAGCAATCGTCAAAGTCTTCAAATAAAATACAAGCAAATGTAGGCAACATTACGTATACGTAATGTAAAGAGCCTAAAAGGTTTTATTTCTTAGAATTATATTAAAAAAAAAAGTTCAAGCTCTAAGATTTATGACATTTTTTTAAAACTTAATTTACTAAATGTAATAATGTTGGGCAATAACAACCAAATCGACGGCAGGATCTTAAATATGGACAGAAAATGCTGGTAACTTCTTTCCTTACAGTTTTCAGTAGGAAATTTCCATAAAATATATAAGTTTTATTATTTAAGTATGTATAAGAATAATTAATGAATAAATAATGATCAAGGCGGGTATTATCAACATGGGTTTTATCTCTCAAAGATAGGGAGAGGTTGGACCTTGAGTGCTACTCCTGACAAAGGATCCCTCCGCAAGTTATCCCCTCTCCTGTCAATTGCAGTCCGCCAAAAACAATCGATGGCGCTTTGGGCCAGTGGTTTTTGGAATTTTGAGTGGGTGCTTTTGGATTGACATTCAAAACGTGTTTGAATATTCCCAGTCCGATGTAAAGGGCCACACAAAGGCAATGCGAATGCGGAAATTGCTAGCGGCAGATTGGCTGTTTAATATTGTTAAATAAAGCGCATCGGGAGGGTCCGATGGCCCCGATCCCCCCTCGAAAAAGGGGGCTTATTAGTTTTCCAGACCATCTGTATGTGTGTCGGTGTGTGTGTGTGCGGCGCAATCATCGCAGTGACAGGCGACCGCAGGGTGCTTTTAGCTGTGTGTGTGTGTAAACGGAAGCGGAAGTCGCGTCCCCGTTCCCGCTTCTCCACTTCCCCGCTCCCCGCTCCCCGCTCCCCGCTCCCCGCTCCCCGCTCCTCTTCCCGTTTTCCTGACCGCACAAAGCCATTTGGCCATTTCGGGAACCAGCCCTAACCAACGGGCCATGCTGGGCACAAAGTAGTCGGCCGCACAATACTTTGCTGTCAATTTGTGATAACGGCGGCTTTATTTGAAAATATGTGCGACTTTATTTGCCGGCTGCGCCGAGTCGATTTTGCGGCCTCGTTGGCTGACAGCTGCTGGCTGGTCTGTTGGCTGGCCAACATCGGTTTTAAGGGGTTGTGGACGGTGTAAGTTTAGAAAGCAGATAGAACGTGTGAAATTGAATATTTACAAGAGCCCTTTCAGGTGGAAAGCGCTCTTGGTCGGGGCCAGTGAATAGTTTGGCTTAGAGCGATTTGCGGAAACCGAGGACGGGTCAAAAAGGAAAGCCACAAAGGCGTTCTCGCCTCGCCTCGCCCCGCCCCGCATCGCATCGCACATCGCTTTAACCACATTTTCTGCATTATTATTTTTTATGGCCAGCGGCAATGGGGACCCGAAGGTCCCAACTAATTAAATTTGCCATATACACATAGTATTCCGATGTGTGCCGGCGTACACACACTTAAATTGGCTCCGCCTGGCCATATCGCTGTTTGGACTGCAAACTGACTGAGGGAGGACCGAGGGAGAGTCGGCGGGGAATGCACATTTTTAATTACGCTGCACATTTGCATTTGAATTGCGCATTTTACAGGCTGATAAGCCGAAATAAAGGCAACAGTTGTGCACAGTTGGCTGCTGTGCGGGCCAAAGCCGAAGATATGTTGGCTTTGGCCACGCCCCCTCTTTCACTCCTCCCCCTTCTCCAGGCCACTTGCATCTGCACACTCGGTCGTGTTTTTTGCAGATTTCCAGAATGTGTAATTTTCAAGTTGACAACTTTTGTCCCAAAGCAGTGACCTCGTTTCAGCGGTGCAGGCACGGGCCCACATTGCTCGGCGAATACTATATAGTATATTGCATTAGAGCCTCGGCTCCTTCAAAATGGGATTTGCCCGCAGGCATAACCCCAGTAAGCCGTCCTCAAAGGCATCGGCGGGAAGCGGTGAACGGGGAGGGGGAGGGGGAGGTGGGAGAGCAGGTGGGGGAAAGCGTCTTTCAATGAAATGCAAAAGAGAGAAAGTTGGAGAACAAAAGGCACATGGCGCTTTCAAATTCCACTGCCGCTGCATCGATTCTGGGCGCTAATGGAAACACTGCATTTTCCTTTATGCCATGCCTCCTAGTCCAAAGGGTTTTCCCCCACAAACTCTTTCCCCTTTCATCGGAGTGCCATTAGCCAATACGCCCGCGACATGCTTTTGAATTTCTCGAAGTTCAAGGGCCCGTTTCTCTGGAGTTCAGCCAGCATTGAATAATGGATTTTAAAGCAGGTTGACATCTGAAACTATAATGGAAATTAAAGCAGGCTGCCATCTGAAACTATTTCCACAACCTGCGACGTTCCGCTGAGCTCTGTTTTGCAAAACAACCAAACTAAACGCAGCCCAGACGTCCTACTTCCCCGCTAAAAACACCGAGTGGAGGGCTCGGGAAAAGGGCTCCAACCGCCTACTGGCCTGTCATTTGAGCCGTTTTTAATGACAGGCTGACGCCTGCCGCCTGCCGCCTGGCGCCTGACAACGGCTAATGATGGCGGCTAGCCAAAGTTTTGCGGCTTTTGCGGATTAAAATTGAAAACGCTTGCATTCATTAAATCTACAAGCAGAAAAACCTAACTAGAACGTGACGTGGGGCAGGTGTCGCATTAATTAGTGTAGGCATCCGCACACGTGCTCACCAAATGGAAGTTTCCTCAGGCGAGCGGTTTCATTTCGCTAAGATGTGTCAGCCCGCAATTTGGGTCAAAATGACTCAAGTTAAATTATTGCAAACTGCATTCCGCAGCGTCTTTGGTGCTTCTCGGTGTCCTGAAAGAGCGATGGGATGTGTGTATTGAGGCCACGAACACATTTGCATAGAACGCCTTTGGGCGGCAGACTCTACTCCTTTGACGGTTTCCAATAGCTCATAAATTAAATTACTGGATTAATCAGTGCAGGCCTTGTAGGCACTCTTAATCCTGAATTGCGCCTCAAGCCAACCATCCTTGAGGGCTTTTTGGCCGTTTCAGGCATTGAAAACTAATAACTAGATAAGCAGGTTGCGGATGTTCAAATTTTGACCTTCCGCTTCGTAAATAAGTTTGACGATAATATAGTTGTGTGTTATGGAAAGTTAACGAATTAACTCGAAAGAAAACTTTAGTTTTTCATACATTTAAATTGAAAAGCATTTCCTTACGTATTTTAACCTAGTTCTCAGTTCCGATGGGTATGCACTAAGTATTAATTGACCCATTTGTGGTTCAAACTTTTTCTAAATTTTACGTATGCAATTATTATTATTATTATTTAGTATGCAGAAATTCTAAATTCCATTTATAATTGATTTTATACGTTTTATTTACATAGCACATTGAACATTTAAGCTCAGCATTTAAAATTGCTTTAGTTGTGCACTTGGTATTGTAGTACCTTATGTTTGTCAAATAAGTTTTTATTACTAATTTAATACATCTTATCTATACTTTGCGTTCTTCGACAAAAACAAAATAATTTTTCCTACTTACTATGTTTAAAAGACAGAATGTTCGGATCAGTCAGCCAGCACCTAATCTGGTGGGCATAGGTGAACAGATTTATCATCCGCTCCTCAAGCCGCTCTTATGGTTGTTTATCTCTGTTATCTATGCAGCCAAGCTTCTCTTGCAAACTTCTTTATAAGCCTACCAAACTTCTCGCCTACCCACATTGTTCACACATATTTCGAAAATATAAAACGAATAGTTGCAGCTCCAAAATATATACTTCAAGTAATTAAACCTACTCGTGCGTTTATTTATTTCCCCACAAACACAAAATATGAAGAATTTTGTAATTGAACAATAAAGCACTAATTTACAACAATATTAATCTCCCAACGAGCTCGACTGACACAGCGCATAAGTCCCAGGTTCACACAAGTAGTTTAGCAAGGCTCTCCGCTAATGTTCATAGATCATTTAACAGAATCTACAGCTGAGGGTGGCAGCCAGCTCTTTAGCAGGCATTCATCATTCATCTGGCTCCGTGTCTGGCCCGAACAAGAATTTCACAAATGCCTTACGCCCCTTTTGCTCGCTCCTCGCTTTTGGCCGGCTGATGTGTCTGTTACCTTAGGCGGGCCAAAAGCATTGGCAAGCAGCCCCAGATGAGCAGCTGATTGCCGTGACTGTGCCTTTATGCTGGTCTCCGGTCTTCGGTCTCCGGTCTCCGAGTCCTCGAGTGGCATCCGAGAGGTGAACATACAAATTAATCTTCATCTGGCTCCTACTCCCCCATATACCGCCCACCTTCCACCGCCCATCTGTGCCTGGGGTCCCCTCAAGTTTGCCATTTAAAAGCGGTAAGGAAGGCGACCGAAATAGTTTCGGGCCAGAACAACAGAAATTAAAAGCTGCAGATGCGAGGGAGAAATGTCTTTGTGGGATCACACATTGCCGTGTTTCAATTAACATAACAACTTTTTGTTATCATTGTGCAATTTTACAAAGCTTTCAGCTTGGCTTAATTTTTAATAAAATACATGAATCTGAAAAAGTATGTAGATAGGTACTATAACTTTTTATTTTTTTTTTATAATAGTAAACTTCTTTATAGTTTTTTCCGCTTCGACCTTCTTTATTCCGGAAAAGCCGCTTTTGTCTATAAATTATTAAATATCTGGCGAAGCATTTTGGGCATTGGCTTCATCAACTTAAACGCGTACTCGTTGT